ATTTTGTTATACCATCACCCGAATTGTGTGTGACGAATTTCTGATAGTTTAGGCTTTGTGTTCTTGCTAACGGAATACATTTACTGGTGTACAGTAGACATCAATAAAAGCGAACGCCTTTCGAAAGTTGTGAAATCATGCTACTGTTTTGGCATTATACAACTTGCAGTTTCCTTTTGATGGATTTTGTGTGACTGGCCGTGTTATTGAACTGTAGTATTATGTAAATCTGTCCCGGGAAAATCTGCAAGCAAAGTTTAAATTGCCATTTACACGCTACGTTATAACGTGGAGTCATCATCTGAGTATGCACGATTGTTCGTCTCGTGTTCCCCAACGCATTTAAAAAATTTGGGGGACTTTGTGTGACTGATCGTCACGGGTGTTTGTAAACATCAGTCAAACTGTAGTAGTGTGTAAATTTGCCACAACGTGGAGTTGCCATCGTCTCTTGTTTACCAACTCATTTAAATACGAGGACTGAAAAGTGATTTCCATTGACTTCGTCTGTTATAAATCGGTTTCCTTCGAACTTCCTATTGCCATCAGGATTATGTCTACTACCCTTGGCGGTGTAGTGCGTATCAATCTTCTTGTATGAAACGAACCCGGAAATCGTTGGCAAATCGAGATGGACTTGTCGCGTAATTTCTTACTTTGTTCTTGACCACAGTATGCTTGGCTATGATATACAGATACCCACGCTTATGGGAATAGTGCATCATGGGTATAATACTGTATTGATCGAGGTGAAACAAACATGGCTGCCGTAATGCCTGTTGTTCGACTACATCGCTGGTATTTCTCTTCCTGTCTTAGAGTTCTCTGTTTTCTTTGATTTTTTTTTTATTTCAATTAAACAGCTGTGGCCATGCATTTAGTCGATGTCGACTGTTTTTCTCGAATTGGTTGATTGTCATAGTCAATACGCTAAGTACAATTAAACGTCCCGAGTTGAACAGTAGTCATTTCTAAGGTTCAAAATAAATAAACAAACATAATTATTAGTCCCCATTCGAAACGGGGACTTATAATTCGGTCTCTGTCCGTCCGTGCGTCCATCCAGAGTCATATGTCAGAATCCCTTGGACCGATTCTGTTCATTCTTTGCATGTGCCTAGTACTTTATGTGGGACATATGCTCGTGCAGTGGTTTAGCGATTTGATTTAAAATGGCGACTGGCAGCCATCTTGTTTTTTGAAAATGTTGTATTTTGGACATGCTTTGTCAGTTTTCATTCAAATTTAGTACATAGATCATACATGTTAGGATACATGTCCCCGACCGTTCGTGAGTTCCTTAGTCTGTCCGTCCGTCCATGTGTCAGTCTGTCCAGAGTCATATTTCAGAATCCTGTGGACCGATTCTGTTCATTCTTTGCATGTGCCTAGTACCTTATGTGGGACATATGCACATTCAGAGGTTCAGTGATTCAATTCAAAATGGCCGACTGGCAGCCATCTTGTTTTTTGAAAATGTTATATTTTGGACATGCTTTGTCAGTTGTCATTCAAACTTGGTACATAGATTATACTTGTTAGGATACATGTCCATGACGATTTATTTCGCAATTGGATCAAAGATGGTCGACTGGCAGGCATCTTGTGTATTTTTTTTATGCGGTATCTTGGACGTGCTCTGTCAGTTTTCATTCAAATTTGGCACATACATGTACTTTATACATGTTAGGATGCATGTTCATGACAATTTGTTTCAAAATCTGGTCAAGGATGGCCAATTGACAGCCATCTGACTTTTTGGCCATTTTCATTTGTATTTGGCACATACATATCAGTGTGTTTCATAATCAGATCAAAGATGGCCGAATAACGGCTGTTTTTATTTTTGGCCATATTACTACTACACGGAACACATGTTTTGATGTAAATAAACAATCTGTTGTATACGCCATTTGGAACTCAAGTTTCAAGGACACGCTTGCGACAACCCCTCTGCTTTAATATGACGAGCACAAAGAGAACTTTCCAAAATTTAATGGGGACTGTGTCATTTTCAATGACTTGTTTAATTTAGTTTAATTCCTTCAGTTAAAACCAACAGGCTGCTTGTTTTTACATTCAAATGATATTCATTGTCAAAGTTGAAGAATTTTAATACTGTGGATGGGTTGTCTTTCAAACCAAACCAATCAAGAACATTTTAATACTATGGATGGGTTGTCTTTCAAACCAAACCAATCAAGAACATTTTAATACTATGGATGGGTTGTCTTTCAAACCAAACCAATCAAGAACATTTTAATACTATGGATGGATTGTCTTTCAAACCAAACCAATCAAGAACATTTTAATACTATGGATGGGTTGTCTTTCAAACCAAACCAATCAAGAACATTTTAATACTATGGATGGGTTGTCTTTCAAACCAAACCAATCAAGAACATTTTAATACTGTGGATGGATTGTCTTTCAAACCAAACCAATCAAGAACATTTTAATACTATGGATGGGTTGTCTTTCAAACCAAACCAATCAAGAACATTTTAATACTATGGATGGGTTGTCTTTCAAACCAAACCAATCAAGAACATTTTAATACTGTGGATGGGTTGTCTTTCAAACCAAACCAATCAAGAACATTTTTACATCCATTAACAGTAACAGATGCCACTGGTATTTCTTGAATGTCGATCCTTTTTCCAGCATTGTAAAACGATACATCAGTGGTTGGATCTTGCATAGTGATCACGGTCATTTCATCATAGAACTTGTCACTTATATATCATCGTTGCTATTCACATTGTTGATGAACATTGTTGATAATGGGATGTTGCCTACATTGATCACCAAATTATATTTGTCCATGTTGTCATCGACAAGGAATATTGCAGGTCCCAGTGGTTGAAAAAGCGAACAGGGAAAAAAAACGATGGTATAGCTTACGCGAATGGGAGGTTGGTTGAAATGAGTGCTGTAAAACGATAAAATCAAGGGAATTTTTTTTTTTGCCACAACATTTTTTTTATTTAATGCTGAAGAGAATTTCTTTATAAGTTTTATAATTGTTTATTTTACTTTATGTTTGTTTCAGTGTAATGAATGGAGTTCCACAGCAGTTGCTCACTGTAATGCACATCGCAAAGCTGAGGCATGGAGAAATAAGCGCAATTCTAAAAAAAGTGGATTGTTATTAAAATTAACATTGGAAGAAACTACACAAGAGATTCGTGATGCAGGTAAATTCATATTCTGTATTTGCACTGTGCATGATCTTGTGTAGAAAACAGGTATTTATTGTATTGTTTTATATTTGTAACTTTGCAGCCGCCAGAGCTCAGGAATTGTCCAATGAAATTTCCAAAAAATATGATGTATATAGAGAAGGACAACAAAGTCAAGCACCTAGACAGTGTCTCTGCAGATCTTATGAAAGACAGCGGTTGGATACTGGTGAAAACTGTTTTAACTGTCAACAAGAAGCATGTAATCAGAAAAAAGTACACGAGTAAGTTGTATCCTGGCATGTTCAGTGCAATATTGTACTGTGTGTGTATGTGTGAAATGAGAGAATTTGTATGTGTGCACTTCATAGCTACTTTTTCACTTGTGTCTACACTGTCAGTTTTTCTTCTTAGCTAGCCAGTAATTTTAATGAAGGAACTGTCAACTGTTTTTTGCGGTTAAAATATTTTGAGCAATTCTTATCAGATCATCTTCAAGCTTGAATATCATATTAATCAGGATTAGTTCTTGCCCAAGTTAATTTGTTGTGTGATTCAGTTTATTTATTATTTGACGTATTTTGAAAAAGACGCTTAAATTATATTCTTGTTGTGGTTACAATAGGTACTATTTTTAGTCGCAGTTCGAACATATTCTTACGATTGATTGATTGATGCTGTTCCCTTACATTTTTTTGAATCTTTAAAATACAGTGAAAATTTGCCCATTTTTCCCTTGAAATGTTTTTTCTGCATACAAAATGCATGGAAAGTTTCTCAAAAGACAAAATTTCACTGAGAAACTACAATTGAATCTTAGAAAATTGAGCGAAAATAAGGCTTAGAGGGAACACTGGTGATTGACTTGCGTTTGTATGTATCCATCTCACACATACACTGATCAAGTTCATACTTCATACATACAGTTATCTTAATCATGTGCAGACAGATTTAGTTTAAACTTGGTATATTAAACACATGTCAAATGAGCCTTGATGTATGATTTATTGTTCAGAGACTGACTGGTTGCCATTTTGCTTTTGCTTGCTGCACAAAAAGTTTACATTCTGCCCACTTTCCAGGTTTGTGGTAGCATTAGTATTCAGAAAATGGCATCCTTTTGTATTTTTTCCTTGTATATTTCTACAGTAAAAAAAAGTCAATCTTGTATTGATATCTCAATAATGTGTTACTGGCAATGTGTTTTCAACTTAATGTACATTTATTGCCAAATTGAGTTGAAAAAGAACATATTTTTCTGAACCATCAGGTGTTTGCTTAAAACAGGCTGGGGCATTTTGTATTGTAGGGTATCATATGTATTGGTCTAGGAAGTTGGAAAGTTACGTTATGACAGCAAAATTCAATGAAAATTCTTGTTTATACAGTCAGAAAACTGCGACTTGTGGTTTATCATTGCATGCAAACCCAGCTACATGTACATGTATATCTCTGTACCTGGACATGCCAAGGTCAATCTTATGTAATTTTCAAACATGCATGTGTACATCTGCTTGTTTAGCAATGTGATTCAACATTTTTTAGCTAAAATTTCATTTAAATTAACAATTCTGGAAATGGATCACAGCCTTGTATGAACAGATTTGATACGTACAATGAACATTATAGGACCTCGATACACATTGTTTTGTTTCGACAAATGATGTACTTGCATGTATCTGACATGTGCTTTTACTGATCACATGTCATGTTATACATCATGTGATACAGTGTGACAGAAAAGAATTGAGCCTGTATCAGTTGTTTTCTTGTTTTCCAGTTTTAGTCCAGTAATGTATACAATATGCACAGCTATTCAAGAAGCTGAAAGAGAGTTTAGTAATGGAAAGTCTACTCGGGCCTTAGTTTTATTAGATGACCTTGTCAACTGTATTTGTAATGAGAGGCCACCGGGACGGAGGTGAGTAAAGTGATTTCATTTTATGGGTTGGTACAGTAAACATTTATGAAATTTTGTACCTCTAATTATTCACTGTATGTCTGTGATTTTCATGAATTGTGACCCACAAACCCACAATCAATATCTTGTGTATTGGGTTCAACGTCTGCACTGAACATCTGCAAAAATCAAACGATTTGATTTTGAAATTTTTTTAGCTCTGCTGTCAATTTTGTCGAGTGGAGCTTATCATATGTGTGATTGTCCGTTGTCGTGATATCTTCAAATCTCTAATTTTGGTGAATATTTTTGATAAAAAGTAATATTTTTGAATTCTTGTTAAAACTGCAAGTCAGATTGCTTTGATGTTATACATGTAGGTACCTCAGATAGACCTCTCTCAAGATTTGTTTGTTTTCTTATGATGTCTTCAAGTTCAATGAAACATGCTTTGCTAACAGTGAAGCTATCTCAGCCGAGAGGCTGCTTGTTTATCTTTCAACTTGAATTTATCTTTTATGTTTCAATATTGGAATGTATCTTTCAGAGAGGAGTACGCCATTGATATGTGTAATTAGTTTAGTTGTGGATTATACAATTTTGTATAACATCAGAATCTTATTCCTAGTAGATTTCACATTGACTGAACTTTGAAATAACATCAAATTATTTACATGCTGAATACTCACTCTCTGATTTTTTTCGTAATTGCATCACTAAAAACAGAGTGAGAACTAAGTCATTGGCAATGATAATTTAATGATATATATATATATATATGGTGTCTTAATTAATCATATGTTCCAAATTGTCCAAATACTTTATCATAAATTCATCATATTAGCCTTTTAGATAGCGACCAATTTGGTCACCATGGCGTTTAAATTTATTGAATGATGATTTTAAAAAAAATACATAAATCACGAACTAAAAAAATCTTCCGACAAAACTTTCTGTAACCTAAAACAGACTATTACAGCAAAACTGTTAGTGAATTAGTGTCGGCTGATAATGTTAAAATAGACGTTGCATCTGACATTGAAAATGCCAAATCTGAGCTAAGATGATCACAAACTGCATACATGTAGGTCAATGACATTTTGGTGGGTAAAATACAACAAAAAAAAACATCACATGTTTTGTTTATACTGCAGCACACACCCCATTGAAAATGAGAGTAGATAATTGAATTAGCATATCACATGATTACTGTCTGTACATCAGTTATATCATATACGCCTAAATCACTGCAATTCAGTGGCGCCACCAAGTGGGGGAGATGGGGTTCTCCCTACTAGGGTGTAGAGTTTTTGATAATAGTTTTAATGGAGCATTTTATGGCTTCCTTGGGGCCAAAATTACTATCAGACAGATCACAGTTCAAGACTGTGGCCACATGTGATCCCTGGTCATTCAGAATTTGATGGTTGCCAGAGGATCTGCTCCCCAGAGTAAGGGGGTGCACGGCCATGGCATGAGGGCGCTGCGCCCCTGTTCCCTTGTTTTTAAAAATCCCTGCCTAAATAAATATCTGAAGAAAAAAAACCCCACAAATTTCTGTATCTGTGTAGTCTAATATAAAAGTATGTACTTGGCTACTAAATTTTTCATTTGCCTACCAGTTGGAGTTGGTTGCTATTGGCAACTAGAAACAAAAAATAACTTGGAGAACTGTGTATGTTCATCAAAGCTTACAATGGTCTTACTATGTTGTTTTTAGCCAAGCTGACTATGATGAACCTGCTGAATATGGAGGTTATGATGTCTCTGCTTACACTGGTAGGAAAAATCTAATGAAATCGATTGATAGCTTATTAGTAGATCTATTCATGCAAGATTCTGTTTCTGTATGCATACGAAGAAAAGTGATAGACAATATGAAGCATAATTTAATTCTTAGTAAAGGTGGATTGAAATGGCAAGAGTAAGTAGAAGTTATCATTATATTATATTATGAGAATACAGCAAAGTAAGCACGGAGTCAGTACAATGATTTTCAGTCCGTGTGTGTGTGTGTGTGAGTTGGACCAATCATATTCAAACTTCACACATACATCATACATAATATTATACATATGCACATCAATTTGTTTCACAATCTGATTCAAGATGGACGAATGGGTGGCCATTTTTGTACTAAAAAACTCATCAAAATCAAGCATTTATGGATGGATTTTTTTCAAACTTGGCGCATACATTGGATATTATGGGACCTTGATGCACGTCATTTTATTTTTCAGATCGGTTTTAAAATGTATTTTTGCTAGCTGTATTCACAACTTGAATGACTCAAATTGTAATTTTTCAGCCATTTTCAACATGTTTTGTTCTCACTTTCTCGCAGTTATATTTCTTTGTCAATGAGGCACTGGGACAATGTATTGTTATCACCAGTCTTGCATGGACAGAATATCACAGGGAAGCGTGGAGGAGATGTACTCAAGGAACCTTTAGACATAGTAAATAAAAGAATAGCTATTTTAGAACGACAGAAAAAGTAAGTATCTCTTCCTTTTTAGCTCTTCTGTCATCTTAGATTATTATGTCACGAATCTTATATGTCACGAATCTTATATGTCACGAATCTCTTGTATGTCACGAATCTCTTGTATGTCACGAATCTCTTGTATGTCACGAATCTCTTGTATGTCACGAATCTCTTGTATATCACGAATCTTATATGTCACGAATCTCTTGTATGTCACGAATCTCTTGTATGTCACTTGGTCACAAACAAGCCCAGGAAATATATGACATCAAAATACGCCATCATCAAAGAAAATGCCCGCTGACAAAATCATAGAACAGTTGAATAAAAAAAAGTATATACAGAGGCTTGATAAACTTTTTAGGAATGCTCATGCTATTGTGAAACACTCAAGACCAGTCAGTGATTTTATGTGGATATGCTGCGAGGTACAATGTAGATGAGAAAACACAGGTGGACATACATGTATGGCCAACATATAGAAGGAAATAGAAGATCAAGTCACTCAGGATGAACTTGATTATGAGATGCCAGTGGAGACTCAATCTCCAGCAGACGTAATTAGATATGATTCTGATTTCTCAGATCTAACAGAGTGACATTGATAATGGAAGTGACAATGACACGATTTAAACAGTGCATTTCCTACATTTTCTTGTAACATACATGTAGCTTGTGAAAAATATGTTATTTTTTGAAAAACTGCAAAATCCAAAGAAAAAGATAGGACTGACAAGGGCAGGCTTACTTTTGTAAGTTACCAGTCCTGGTGTCTGGCATGTTTCAAACACTGTCATTTCATGTTGATATCTTCAAAACAGAAAAAATTTGAGTAAATTTTCAGCTTTTGCTCAGAACATTTGGCTATTTTTGTCCTACTCTTCTGAAGGAAAGTGTAGACTATGAACAGAACTATTTTGTGCATTTGTGATGGAAACAGGGGGATTGGTGATGAAAAGGTTAATAGTAAGTTAGGTAAATAAGCGAATGCAGTTATGTGAATTCTTCTGTAAATCTAATCAGATTTGTTATTGTGTATTTGTAGATGGCAGCAGATTGTAAGATACATTAAAGTGGTTGTAGTTCTCACTCCTAATACGTTTGGAGCTACACGTAATGTAATGCAAGAAAGGTAAATGAATTATGAATCTGATGTTGAGTTGTTCTCTCTGGTCATTTATATATACTAGAGGACATATTACAACTTTTGGAAATGTGTAAAATACTGTAAAAAATACTTTATTTTAGCTGGAATTAATTTCTGTTAAAGTCTTTTCGAGTGTTTGTATAGAATTTATTTTCACTGATTTTTGATGAGTAGAATCTAAAATACAAGTAAAAAGGTATATTTGCTCGATTTTATTTTTCACTGAATCATCCCTTCAGTGAAAATAGTAAAATAATTTCCAGTTAAAATAAAGTATTTATCTGTAGTGGGTGTTATCTATGGGTACAGGTGAATTGCCGATCCGCTCAGCTAAAAAAAAAACGAACATGAAGCTAACGATGGTTTTATATACAAAGTATGCAAAGAGTACAGTATTCAGTCTTCAGAACTCAATTGACTTATTACTGCTACGTCTTTTGCTGTTATTATATTCACACAAGTTGACATTTGACCTAGATTTTTATAAGATGACAATATTTCATTTGCTTTATGAAATATAAAAATTTGTTCTTACCTGGACATAGTTTTTCTATGACTGCTGACTGGTGTATTACGTCCCACATAATTTTTCTTTCAAATGTTCCTGTCGCTGCCATCATCTGGCTAACTCCAAATACTTGTCAATTGACGATCAGTATTTTCACTCCAAAAAGCCAAATTAAATTAAAAATATTGCGTGAGCTACGTTTTGTGATTGTATTTTCTAGATTTTTTTATTGAATGCAGCATTTACAGTTCAAAGTTCAAAGTTGTTTGAGGGAACGTACATTGATACAGTGTCCTGCCTAACAAGTATGAACGAAATCGATCAAACCAAAAAACCACAGAAGAGATAAAAAGCTGTTCCTGGTAAAAATTACCCCAACTTTGAGGTCAAATTTCTTGGTAATGAAAAAAGATATATAAAAAAAAATCATATAGTAACTTTGGGCCCACACTCGAGTAGAAAGAGCTATGTCCAAGGTTTTTACTTCAAGATTTATAAGAGGAGATACATTTGGTGCAAAGGTACTCGAAAAATCGGTATGCAAATACCTGGTAAGAGCTAATACGTGAAGACGCAAAATCCACACGCACACAAAAGTAATTTTAAGGGCAATCATAGTAGAGCAGATCACCAAAAGTATGATATAACATTTGTTAAAAAAAATTAATTAAATTATCTAATCCATAAAGTGGAATTAGTTCATTTCCATTGTACATATTATGTTGTTAGTCTAAACTTTCACTTATTTTCTCTACAGGTTGCTGCGCAGCAAGATTCCGTTGTATTTGGCATACCAGGGTAAATTCTCAGAAGCGTGTGGCAAACTTGTACATGAAACCATGGGAGAAAAAAACTACAATGCTCATATGAACTCTAATGCTCTCCTAAGTAGAATTGAACCGTCAGTATTCCTGGGGTTGTTAAAATTATTCAGTGGAGAACCAACACATCTCATGCAAAGTAAGTGTATTTGTTTCTGATCTGTGTTATTTGTAAGCTGGGGGGTTCTTTTAGTCTTTGTGTGATTCAGACATTTTCTGAAATAATAATAATAATCCGTTGTTGATAATATGTCTGTGGTTATTTGGTCATAGCTAGAAAACGAAAGCAGATAAATGAAAATCGAGACACAATTCACAAGTCATTCATTCAGTTTAATTCATTCAGGTCGTGGCCTAAGGTGCTTTCAATATTCGGAATAGTAGAAAAGGCACAATAGTAAAATTGGCTATCGGATTATCCCTTAGACACAAAATGGTGTGGAATATGCACTATTGTATTCACTTACATGTATGCATAGGTATTTCTAGTAACAACTTTTAGAAAATGTCACGAAAAATTCCCATCGCTCATACTGATCTCCAAGTTGGATACTTCCAGAATCAACAAGTTCCCGTTTTTTTTTGTAGGTCGTCCACGTTTACCGGGCATGGCGAACTCAAAAATACATACACACGATAAAAACAAAAATGCTGATGTATGCTGTGAGCCTCGCTTTCACATTAGCTCGAGACTCACTAGATAAACTGATTTCAATAACAAAGCTGACTAGCTGATGTTTGGGTCTTTGTTTATCGGTGGCCCACCGAAAAATAAAATACTCTTAAGTCGTTTTCTGTTTCTGCGCATTTTCACAAGCCTAAATACCTCTCAATAGGCTCTATATAGGGAGTTCTAACAACATTACGAAAGCTGAATGCCACTTTAAGTTTGGCACATATAGACTAGGAAATAAAATTGAATTGAGTAATTTATTAGATTTAAATCTAATATCACTTAAAAATAAATAAGATTGCACCAACTTGGATAACAAAACTTCCAGTCCAATCTGTTTACAAATAACTTATGTATACACGAGCCTTGCCCATTTTGCTTCATGTTCCTTCTGTCGTGCCAGATCTTTGAAACACTCTACCATTATGCATAAACAACTCAATGTTATTCCTTTTAGAAAAAAAAACATGAAGTTTATATCATTAGTTCAGCCTTCTAATTTACTTTGTAAGGACATTACTCAGAACTGAATGTTGGCACTTATTTAGACTTTCTATTGATCACTAATCTGTCTTTGTAGGTGGCTGTAGTTTTACACCTTTGGATGATGACACTTTATTTAGACTGTGTCTTAGAGCCTATGTTATCAACAAAGGTATTGGACTAGATGTAAGTAATATTTTAAACTCTCTCAACAAAGGTATTGGATTTGATAAGCAGTTCGTACCTGGTATGTGCTTGTGTGTGAGGTGTGTATATTGTAAATATATATATATAATATATTAATGATCTAGTATTCAATGCAGTTTTTGTTGTATATGTGATTCTATTAGTGATAATATTGTTTTCATTTGGACTAGTGAAAATGTTTAGAAATCCCTACACCCCTAATATTCTGTGGTATCCAATCAATACTAAGCAATATCATTTAAGGTAGAGATGCAGTTTATTTGTGAATTTCAATCAAAAATAGTTTTTTTCGTTTTTTATATAGATTTTTATCTAAAGAACATTCTGTGAAAATTTGACCAATGAATTCTTATTGG